CTGCGTTCATTCTCTTTGAACGGCGGCATTCCAACGTTTTGCGCTAATCGCTTGCATCCACGGGAGGATTCTCGTGCGTCCGTCTCATGTGGGAGGGACCAGGCGAATTTCTTCCAACGGACCTCGGGAGGTCCCGAGCAACCCAAATTGGCCTTAGATGCGGGCCCGACCCCATCCCACGCGGCCGCGAGTTCTCGCCCCAGGGCCTCAAGGACGAGATCCCAAAGGTCAGCGAGCTGTTCGGTGTGTTGAACCTTCTGGGCAGCGGCCCACGCAGCACTCCAGTCGAATAAGGCATCCTGGGAGCGGCATCGCTGGGATGTTCTTGGGGCACTTAGCCACTCCGGCCCATGTGGAGGACTCGCGAGCGAGACCATGGACCGAAGCAGAGATGTGAGGCGAGGTGGAGGGACGCTCATCAACGGTCGCCTCATGGGGCCAGCGAGCTACTAGTTCGGAAGACATCGAAGTGCATATCTGGAGCTGTCAGTCTGCATGAGGTGGCCTGCGAGACTAAGGCCACTCCGCTTACCCTGTCTAGCCAGTTAGACTGCTTCAGGGTGGGAAGATCCATACTCCAATCAGCCCCGATGATCCAGGGCATCCGATAATTATTAAGCGCGGAAAAAATCGATTAGCTGACAGATGAGGGAGGAGCTGGCGGGCCAAAGCCCTTCTGCATCCACGAAACATACACTGATGAACACCACGTCCGCTTCCCAGAAAGATCCGACATGCCCCGCAACGATGCGTCCATGAGCCAAGGTGGTGGATCCAGGCAGGGGGCTCACAACGTCGACCCCCAGAGGGCTGGACCCTTTCCCCAGGACCAGTGTTTCATCCTGAGTCGTTTTGTTGACGGTCCCGGGGCCCGGCGAGTGCCCTCGGAGGCCGAAAATAGCGAAAAACCTCCCGTCATTATTTTTCCACAACGCGAGGGGGTCTGGGGGGGGGGGGCCGAGATGGGGACGTGGGAACGCACAAGGCGCTGGCCCAGACTCTTCTCAAAGCCCGAGTCGAGCACACGAGCCTGCGACTCGCTGGGCACCGCGTTTGGCAACGTCGTGCTCCTGGGCAGGAACTGCACGCTGCCACCGGCCTGCTCCTAGAAACATCCAGGCCCCCTACACGGGGTCGGAGTAGATGAGGTCGAAGGATCGCGCCGCCGCATCGCGGATGCGTCGGCAAAAGCCGTGGACAGAAGGATCGTGCTCAAGACAGTGACGCGTGGAAGCTCGGCGCCTGTGGGCGTGGCGATCCGACGGGGCGAGCAGCGGCATTCCCCGGGGGCGGGGGCGCGCGCCCCCGGCCCCGGGACGTCGATTGTTCCGGGCGATCCGGCACGTGGCGGCGCACGTGCCTGGAGCGAGCAGTGGCCTCGCCCGAAGGCGCGTGCCCTCCGTCGAACATCAGGTGTTGGCGGTCCGCGCGGATTTCCTCCTCCTCCTCCTCCTCCTCCTCCTCCTCCTCCTCCTGGATCCGCGCTGGGCCCCCCCGGCGGCGCCTCCGGCCTCGCCCCTGGCGCGCTCCGGGCGCCAGGGAGGGGGGTCCAGCGCAGATCTAAGAAATCCGCGCGAAGCGCCAAGAGTTTCTGATTATGGCATGTTGTTCTTCTTCTACTCTGGCCCAACACTTCCGCGTCTCCGTCGCCGCCCTTGTGAACGAGAGGGGCCAGGTACACGGAGATGTTTTAGTTGCCTGGATACGCCCTCTTTGGAATACAACACGTACCGTGTTCAAGACGTCCGTGTTGACGCGTTGCGTGTTGGCCTATGTTTTGGCGAACGCATCGCGTCAGACCTACGTCTTCGGTCTACGTGTTGAGCTCTGCATGAGTACGCTACGTGTTACGCGTTGCGCATCGGGGCAGCTAAGGCCTGGAGCGAGCAGTGGCTTCTCCCGACGGCGCGTGCCCTCTGGCCCAGGACTTTCGCACCTTCGTCGCCGCACGTGTTAGCGAGGTGGGCCAGGCACACGTAGACACGGCCGGACCGAGGCATAAGATCGAGGTCGGCTCGGGGAGGGTACCCTGACTCTCTCCGTGCATGTTCTTGTGCATCCTGGGGGGGTACCCTCGACTGCTCTCTGCAGTTTGGCCGGCGGAGGGTCCCATGTTCTTGAGCGATCTTCCTTCTGCCCCAGGTCCGGCCGCAAGAGAGAGGCAGCAGCAGGCCTCTCCCCCGCTGCGTGTTGCGGGGCGACCTGCGCGGCGGCGCCGTCAGCACAGTGGCCACCAGCCAACTCCTGAACCTCACCTCTGGGACGTGGGCTCCTGACGCTCGCGGACGCGATGTTCGTGTCCCTGAAGGCGGTCGGGGGCCTGGGATGGGGTAAGCCTCCAGCGTTGGGCGGTGGAGCGGCCCCGGGCCCCCCGTGGTGGTCCGCAGGTGGTGGCGAGGCACTCGCCCAGCCTGTGAGCGCAGGAAAACCTCACCTGTGCACCCTAGGCGATGCTTAAGAAAACCTAAGTTTTCGTCCAGAGTCTCGATTATTCTTAAGCTTTCAATGTAAATCCCACGATGTTGATAGAAATGATGGGTTTTTATTCAAGTTCTGAGACTATGAATTTCTTATCCCATGATTTCTTAAGCAGGAACTGGGCGGGCGGGCCAGTATGCCAGAGATGCAGGATGAGCCGACCATTGGCAACGGCTTACGCCTGGGCTGCAGGACAGGTGGGCGTGAGCTTCTTTGAGACGCCGGCCACCGATCCGGTATGTCGCCTGAGCGGGTCGCGCAATGTGCCAAGCCCCTCATCGTCGTCATCTGTCTGCACTTGCAGGTATCTGCACTCCGCAGGCCAGTACATGCCCACGTACTGTGGACGGCATCCTCGTCGGCTGCTATCTTATCGTGCACCTCCGTTGCGTGCAACGCTGCAGCTGCCGCCGCTGCTTGCGCGGGCGGCTGGCGGAGGCCTGGGTAGATCAATCGGGGCTGTGACCGCCTTGAGCTTCTGGACCATCGCAGCCATCGCTGCAACGTCGGCAGTGACCCGCCCACCACCGCCCAGTGGCTTGACCATTGCCTCGAACTGCGCCAATGTGGTCTCGTGCCCAGGGATAAAGGCATTGAGGGTGGGCTGCTGGTGGTCGTCAGGCGTAGCCGCAGCAACCATAGCCTCTCATCTAATGTCTTGATCGCGATGTCGGCATAAGTATCATCCTCGGCGGCGTTCTCCACTGACAGCTCAGTTTCACGCGTTGCTTCGCCAGCTGCCTTCAATTTCGAGACCGTCGCAGCCTTGCGATGCCGAGCTTGCTGAAGCTGCCGAGTGGGTACTGACACTTGTGCCTCAAGAGGCTTGTCGGCCTGAATCTCGGACTCCAACCGAGATTTCTCGGCCACCAACGTCCCACGAGACTCCTCATCCTGACTGCCCGTCGCCTTGATGATGCGACCGATCTGCTCGATGCGTTCAAGGCGAGCCTGGATAGCGCTGGTCTGAGCCCAGGGAAGAGCTACTGCATCTTCTTTTGGAGGGCCTCCATCTGCTGAAACAGCGCCAGCTTTCGAGCAGACTGCATTGGTGACGCTCGGGTAATGGGGGACCTTGACAGGAGGAGGTCTGGATTTGAACGTGAACTCTACGGCAGCCGACACTGCGCACACCACAAGGGATCCGAACGATTAATACAAGGTGTGTCGGCATGCCGGTGCTTGCACCGCTTGCAGCACCATGGTGCTGGACGCCCTACATGGGTACCGAAAAATGAGCGCAATGCCCAACAACACATGATGTCCAAAAACGACAGCGGCCGCTGCTTGGCAAGCGGCCTTCTGTCTCGCATGGACAACGTCCGCGGCGACACAGACAGCGAGCCCCGTTCAAAATTCACAGGAACCACGATTGGTCCTCGTACCCATTCGTTCCGTACCAATTTCGAGCGGACTGACTAGTTCAGCGGTCGTACGCCTCCGTCTGTACCTCACGGTTGCACTAGGCCACAGAGTACGGCCCCGCGGAGCAGGGCACGAGACGTGGGCAGGTCAGTGTGGGCAGTCAAACATAATTCTCGTTTGCTGAGCACTGCACAGAAAAAATGGAAGCTAGCCGCAGATCAGCGATATCCGCTGTTCAGAACGACAACGTTATCGGGTTGGGAGGATGGGATTGGAAGAAACATCAGATCATTCGTATTATTGTGTATGTTGGAAGTGCTCGTTACACAGTCGTACCCTGTATCTTCCCAACCCCTTCCTCCCAACACGATAACTGGGTTTCTCAACTGTACTGTTGCGGGCAGCCAAAACCTTGAGCCACAGTGGCTACGGAGGGGAGAGGAGTAGGAGCAGGCGCAGGAGGGCAGGAGCAGGAGCAGGAGCAGGAGCAGGACGGCGCTACGAGCCTCGCTCAAGGCTTGCCCAGCAAAGGAGGAGGAGGAGGAGGAGGAGGACGAGGAGGAAGAGGAGAAGGAGAAGGAGGAGGAGGGGAGGATGAGGAGGAGGAGGGGAGGAGGAGAGAGGAGAACGAGGGGGGAGGGGGATGAGGAGGATTATGATGATGAGGAGGAGGAGGAGGAGAAGGAGGAGAGGAGAGGAGAAGGAGGAGGGGGCGGAGGCGAGGAGGATGGCATCTTGCAGCCAGCTTGCTGGGTGTTTCTCGTGACGTGCACAAGCAGTTGTGCGTGCACCGGGCGCGCACACGGATGTGTTCACGCGTTTAGAGGTGGTGGCCGTGGTGGAGGAGGTGGTGGATCGGGCCGGGGCCAAGAGGAGAGAAGGGGGAGCGTGCAGGAGATGGGAAAAGTTGGAAGGGAGGAGAGGAGGAAGAGAAGAGAGGAGGAAGAGAAGAGAAAAGGAGGAGGAGGGGGAGGAAGAGGAGGAGGAAGATGAGGAGGAGGAGGACGAGGATGAGGAGGAGGAGGAGGAGGAGGAGTGTGAAGGGAGATCGAGAAATTTCAGGGTGAGGACGCGCACGTGCACCAGCACATGCACGGCGTGAGGAGATGAGGACGCACTGGAGGACGGTTGGGCGGCAGCAGCAGTGCCGGCCGCAGGCGGGCGCGGGGTTGATCACCACGCCCGTCTCGGAGGGCTACAGCGGCTACTGCAGAGACGGCGTCTTAGGACAGTGTCTGCTGAAATACCGAACGAACAACACACACCAATACCCATAATTAGGGGAGTCGAGTCGTTGGGAGGAGGACTGGCCATGGGTATGGTTGCGGGTTGTGGGACCCCGGGGGACGCTCCCGTTCGAGCGGGGACCCCCATCCGACAACACGCACCCACAGCCCTCTCCGACTCCCTCACGGGTATGGGTGTGTGTTGGTTGTTCGTCATGCAATGCGTCTGCCCGCGGCATTAGTCTCTGCGATGTCTCGCCTCAGTCGGCGGCGAGCCCAGGGGTGAAGTGAGGGGGCGGGCCCTCTCAGAAGGCTCGGAGGGCCCTGGGCCTTCTGAGGAGTTTCCGAAGGCTTCCCCGAAGACAGAAGAATCCCCCCCCCGGGCGCGCCGCCGACTCATGCTTGTTTTGTCACCAAGGCCGTGGCCACTGGCAGCACTGTGGTCGTCGCTCTCATCATAACCCCGTCACGTCCAAGGTGTGGCCGAGATGGGTACCTGGCGGATGGCCATGCTTCCGGGAGACCCCGCACCGTACGGGTTGTTGTCTTGACTTCCTCCGGACAGGAGCGTGTCCTGAGTTCGACTTGAAGGTTGCAAAACCCCGAAATCCAACACAGTTGTACTTCCAGCGACGGCGCATCGTGCGTCTGGGCAGGTGTTATACGGGCCCACGGAGGTTTGATGGGCCCCACGGGAGGAGGAGGGAGGAGGAATGGAGAGAGGTGGAGGAGCAAGCAAGCCATCGGCGAGCCCACGAACAGGCTGTTGTCCCCAAAGTCCGCGTGTGAAAAACTTCCTCTGATGGGGCAGGACTTTGCAGATCGCTAGTAACCGTGAAGCCGAGACGGTGCTTTCACCACAAAGGTACATGTGCCCCTCTGGGAGGCATCCCCAAACGAGCCAGCAGCTCAGGAGTGGACCCCTCACGGCCAAGACCTCGTCCCCCCACCACCACTCGGTTTGCGAGGCACGGTCAAAGTTGGTATAGCACCACTCGGGCGAATCAAGTTGCCTCCAGGGGAGGGGAGGATGCCTGACCTAACTGACTCCTGAGATCGCTCGCTACCTGGCCAGACGGAGAAATCCATTCACAGAGCTCGAGCTGTCTTCATCTGCAGACCGGGAGGAGGTCAAGGCCAGAATATTTGATGGAGGCAATTGGACGGACGGGCTCACGACCAGGACAAGGAGGGATGCTCAGCCGCGCGGCTGACGCGCCCGCGCTCATCCGACAAGACTGCTACGCCTGCACCACGGATCGTCCCCACTTCTTGTCCAGCGCCGCGACGCTGGCGGGGAGCCTCTCGCCTCATCGGCCGCCCTCCACTCGCCCATCAACTGCTGAATGGCGCTCCCCATCGTCGCCACGAGGAACTACCCCTTGGGGTGCGCCGGCTCGGTGTCGTAGATCGGGCGGGCCTTGTCCGTGTCCAGGCCCTTGCATGTGTCCGGCTTCCACTTGAGCGACGGAAGAAAACGGGGTCGATTGTGCGGACGTTCGCGCGCACGTTTCCCGCGTCAGGCCCCGTGTAAGCGCCCTCTTCTCCACGCGGTGTGCCAAGCTGGCGGCCCGCGTAAGCCGCCGCGTGAGGTCGCCATGCCATCGTGCGCAAGGCCTGTCTTTTCTCGTCGCCCACCCAGGGTGCGGCACGAGTTGCGATCGGGATGAAGCCATCCTGTGGGATGAGGTTCGTCCTCGGGTCCTCGAAGCCCGCCTTCTCCACCTCCTCCTCTTCCTCCTCCGCCTCCGCTGAATCCAGCACGTCCCGCCGCCGCGAAGGCCCGGACGCGGGGGTGGTGGGGGGGGCGCGAGTGACGCAGTCGACCTGCTCGCCCGCCTTTCCCCTTGTCCTTCAATGTTGGAGGAGGAGAATGAGGAGGAGGAGGAGGAGGAGGAGGAGGAGGAGGAGGAGAAGGGGGAGGAGAAGGAGGAGGAGGAGGAGGAGGAGGAGGACGACAACGACGACGACAACGGTGACCAGACTGGGACGGAGATGCGGAACCCCAGCTTCCGACGACGAGTTGGGGGGCCAGGGCGGGAAGCCTGGCAGAGGGGGACAGGAGTCGACGAAGACAAACTTAGAAACGTAAGCATAATCTGTCGGAAATCCGCGCGGATTTCTTGGACCGGCGCTGGACCTCATTCCCTGGCGCGCGGAGCGCGCTAGGGAAGGCGCCGCCAGGGGGTCCAGCGCCGATCCAAGGAATCCACGCGGACCTCCGAGAGTTCATGTTCAAGGTTTCTCCTTGCTCTCTGGAGAGAGCTATTGCATGTGCACGTTCCCCATACAAGCCTTTTACTGCCATCGAACATGCGCGAACACTGCGTGGCGGATCACGTCTCGAGCCCCCTACCCGCGGTAAGTGTTGATGTTGCCCCAGATCTTGATTCCTTGCCCCTGGAGGCCCAGACATATTTTGCTGTTACAACTAACCTTGCCAGAAAGGTCCCAAAACCTCACGCCTCTATCCTCGTGGCTCGAGGGCAAATTGAGCACCCAGACGGGGTCTTGAGTGGTCCATGTCGTGTTGCCTCTTTGTCCCTCGTTGGCAGCACTTGCACCTTAGTGAGAAGCGCAGCAGCTTTGTGGCACAGAGAATACTCGGCTTGTTTGTCAAGTCTGGTAGGGGCCACGGTCATCAGGTGGCCCTTCCGCTTCTTTCCGTCCCCTCCCTCGTCCTTCCGTCCCTCCCAGACCCCCTCGCGCCGTGACAACAAAAAACGACGGACTGATGTTTGTTATGTTCGGTTTGTTGCGGCCATTGCCGGGCCCTGAGATTGACAAATCTAACGATGAAGAGTAGGTCCCGGGCAACAGGTCGAGACTTTCTGGTCTCCTTACATCCTTGGAAGTTGCAATTGACGGCGTAGAAGGATGCACCAGGGTTTCTCTGGAGCGATCTTTACGCTTTGATCCTGGCTGCGTCCGTAGCACCTTTGAGAACGAGGCGTGAGTGCAATGCCAGCTGCTAGCACCCCCAGCCATCGCGCCCTCCCCTCCCCCCGTTCTGGTTACAGCCTTAAAACACTACACTAAGTATCCCTCCAGCGCCCCATGTTTGTCGAGCGATGGTGCTCCTCGGCGGCGAGCGAGGGGGGGAAGTGAGAAGGAGAAGGCCATCTCAGAAGTTTCGGAAGTCCCCCCGGCCTTCTGAGAAGTGTTCTGGGCCTTCCCCGAAGACAGAACAAATAATCTCACAAGGCGCGAGGGTTTCTGAGAAGTCCCACCGCCGCCTTCAGAGAAGGCCTTCTCCTTCTCATTTCCCCCGCCTCTTTCTCCTTCGCTTTCTGGGAAGGCTTTCTCCTTCTCCTTCTGAGAAGTCCCACCGACTCGCTCGCCGCCGAGCTCCAGCAGCCCATGCCGACAACGAGGATGCGCTCCGGCACTGGATCCCCTTACCCTGGGGAAAGGCGCGCTCCGACAGGCCGCGGCGTGCGGAGGAGGAGGAGGAGGAGGAGGAGGAGGAGGAGGAGGAGGAGGAGGAGGAGGAGGAGGAGGAGGAGGAGGAGGAGAGGAGGAGGAGGAGGAGGAGGAGGAGGAGGGGGAGGAGGAGGAGGAGGAGAAGTAGGGTGGAGGAGGAGGAGGAGGAGGAGGAGGAGGAGGAGGAGGAGGAAGGAGGAGGAGGGAGAGGAGGAGGAGGAGGAGGAGGAGGAGGAGGAGGAGGAGGAGGAGGAGGAGGAGAAGCAGGAGGAGGAAGAGGAGGAGGAGAAGGAGGAGGAGGAGGAGAAGCAGGAGGACGAGGAGGAGTTCGAGCAGAAGGCCAGGGTGTGAAGTCGCCGCCGCCGTCACCGCCGCCGTCGCCGTCACCCCCGTGGTCGTCGCTGTGGTCGCTCTCGCTGGCACCGTCGTCGTCGCCACCGCGTCCGACCATGGTTCTCGCTCTCGAAGTACCCTGTTTATTGCGAATCCCGTCGCCACGAAGGAGGAGGGCTAGGGAGAGCGGGAACGAAGGCGACGGGGGTAGCAGGTACATCTTCCAGTTCTTCTGGTCCAGAGCTGGTGTTCTTGGGGATGGCCGGAGAGGAACAACATTAAAAAGCCTTGATAACCCACATAACAAATCATACCACATACAGTTATAACATCGAAAATTGTTGACCAACGAGTATCCGTTTCCACCTGGCCGTGCACCCAGCGAAGCAAAGGTCAAAAAGGTCATGAATCCTTCCCTCCTACCTCCTCCCTCCTTCTTCGTCTCTGTCCTCCCCTCACTTCCCTCCCCCATATTGAAATTCATTGTTGCTTCAGTCCCGAGCCACGTGATTGGTCTCTCGGCTTCTTGTACATCGGAGGAACGTCGCACCTACCGTTTTGGACAGCAGCGACTCCCATGTGCCTCTTGCCTCTTGCTTTTTCCTTCCTCCTCGTGTCGGGAATTTTTGGGACCGGCTTGTGGTGCAGAGGGCAGGGGGCGCGCTCCGGGTGATAGAAGCGGCGGCTTCGTGGTAGAGAGAGAGAGAGAAGGACAACAAAAACAAAAAACATAGACAGAGACAGAGGCGACAGAGAGAGAGAGAGCAGAGAGAGAGAGAGACAGAGACAGAGACAGAGACACAGAGGCAGAGAGACAGAGACAGACCGCACGACGCTGACGAACGGGTCCGTCAGAGCGCCACCAGGACTGGCACCACGTGCGCTGGGCGTTAAATCAAGGCCAGAGCCGCGGCCTGGGATTGTAGGCACGGGGAGAAGCGCCCGCGGCATGCCGACCCCATGCTGCGCCGAGACGACCAGCAGGGAGAGCCGCGTGGCCAACAAGAAGGGCAGGGACGGCGAGAAAGGCGGCTGCGCGGCCGATCTGGCTGTCGCCACGAAGGAGGTTGCGGCTCGAGCGGCGCTGTGGCAGGGCGCCGCCGCAGAAAGTGATGCAGCTCCCCCGCGGGATGCTCACCCCGCAGCGTGCTGCGAGGGAAAAATCCGCGAGAGTCACGGGTGCCAGACCGAGAGCTTGCGACAGTGCGGCTGGAGTTTGGGGCGACACGGGCGCAGGG